TGTTCTGCCCAAATATCATAACTTAATTGAAACTAGTGATATTCGAATAACTCTTTCTTCCAAGTTCATTTCAGTCTTACATATCTTTAGCCAACTACTTCTGTATTTGTTTTCTTTTCTCCACAGTGCTTGTGTAACTGATTATTAACAGGTTTTATCCTAAATTGAAAAGTGTCTCGTCTGTTTCAATGTGTTAGAAGTAAAGTTAATACGTGTATTGTTTAGGGGCGATCATTATGCTAATGCAATGATTTTTTTTAGATACACAAACAAGGAAGTGGTCTAATCCAGTGTTCCCAGACTTTTGGCAATTATGGACCGGTAATATTCCAAAAAAAAATGTCGGAGAAAAGGACTTAGGCGACTTTTAGCCATCAAAAATTGAAAAATAAACGTAAATCAGTGTCAGTACTTTCAATACCCAAGAGACGTTGCGGACCAGTAAAAATGAATTCAAGTACCAGTCCGTGGACTGGCGTTTGGGAAACACTCTAATAAACTCCTTCTTCAATTTTAAAGACACGTACTTCCAAGTCTAGTAAAAATATTATCTAAAGTGTAGAGTATATATATTTTCTGTCTTATGCACTATCATCAAGTTACTCAGTTCACCTTTTTAAGTTTATCTTATCATAATCTTAGGAGTCATCAAAAGCTGAATGCTATCTATGCGTGGGTTTTTAACGACACGTACTTCCAAGTCTAGTATAAATATTATCTAAAGTGTAGAGTATATAGATTTTCTGTCTTACGCACTATCACCAAGTTACTCAGTTCGCCTTTTTAAGTTTATCTTATCATAGTCTTAGGAGTCATCAAAAGCTGAATGCTATCTATGCGTGGGTTTTTTAACGACACGTACTTCCAAGTCTAGTAAACATATTATCTAAAGTGTAGAGTATATAGATTTTCTGTCTTACGCACTATCACCAAGTTACTCAGTTCACCTTTTTAAGTTTATCTTATCATAGTCTTAGGAGTCATCAAAAGCTGAATGCTATCTATGCGTGGGTTTTTTAAAGACACGTACTTCCAAGTCTAGTAAAAATATTATCTAAAGTGTAGAGTATATAGATTTTCTGTCTTACGCACTATCACCAAGTTACTCAGTTCACCTTTTTAAGTTTATCTTATCATAGTCTTAGGAGTCATCAAAAGCTGAATGCTATCTATACGTGGGTTTTTTAATTATGGTCCGGTTTTGCATATTTCAAGAAAAACTAAGAACTGGTCATCTGTTCATATGTTATCTTAATTATGATGTTATAGCTGAAAATGCTGCTACATAATACAGTATTTAATGTTGTTTTTTTGTAACTGTAATATATGTTTTCTTTCTTTACCAGGAAGGCATTTTAATTTCTTTTTAGTTGTTTGTCTGTAACTACGATATTCTATTTTTTCAAATGTAACTTTTGACACCATTACAAACAGGCAGATAAACATACAACATTCACCCCGCATGTTTCACATACTTTCTAGGATACTAAACTTATCCAAAAGTCTGAGACAACTTAGGTCAACACTTCGTCATATGAAAGTATAGTAACCCTGTTGTTTAAATTTACAAGTGCTCTTTCGTGTGCAAACAATAAATTTCTTTGTTCAGAAAGATGGCAATTTCTTTCTCATTTTCGGTATTTATGTTTACTCCTGTAATTTGTAAAATCAGCGAATCTATACTTTGTAATGAAATTATTAAAACTTCAAAAATACTGTCATCCAATTTATGACCAAAGGCGTGATTGGTGATGACAACCATAGTTTCGATCAATCAGAGTATAATACACCGGTTATAAATAATATTTAATCTCCTTTTTTTCTCGTTTTAATGAATAAAATCAGATCAGGAACAGTTAAATATATTAGGATTATTTTAAAATTTGAATCAGGTATTTACGAGTGGCTAGCTCTATTTCTCCATCGGGCCCGGCATGGCCAGGTGGCTAGGGTGCTCGACTCGCAATTTGAGGGTCCCGGGTTCGAATCCCCATCCCACCAAACATGCTCGCCCTTTCAGCCGTGGGGGCGTTATTATGTGACGGTCAATCCCACTATTCGTTGGTAAAAAGAGCAGCCCAAGAGTTGGCGGTGGGTGGTGATGACTAGCTGCCTTCCCTCTAGTCTTACACTGCTAAATTAGGAATGGCTAGCGCAGATAGCCCTCGTGTAGTTATGCGCAAAATTCAAAACAAACAAACTTCGTCATCACTTATGGACGTTTTTAAAGTGTACGACATAACAAGCATATCAAACTTTTTCGGTTGTGGTTGTCAGAGCTGTGCGTAGCGCCACTATAAATAGCGCGCGATACGTAGCACCGCTATGTTTTTAGGAGTGACTAGTGGATCGACGCTACATTTGAAAATTCATAGCGATTGCAGATAGTGTGGTTCCATTATTTGTCTATGAAAATCACTAATCGCTACATTTTTAATAGAAAATATAAATTATAATCATTTGTATATTGTATATATGTATAATTATTATATAGATATTTATATACTAGTGTTCTTATTTTACTTTTGGCCCGGCATGGCCAGGTTGTTAGGGCGCTCGACTCGCAATCTGAGGGGCGCGGGTTCAAATCCCCGTCACACCCGTGGGGGCGTTATTATGTGACGGTCAATCCCACTATTCGTTGGTAAAAGAGTAGCCCAAGAGTT